TATGTTCCTCTTCCACTCAACGAACTTACCGCGTCAGCTAACTTCCAAAAATCACGGAAGCGAAAAGTTTCTCTCAATTTTACAGTTGACGAGGGACAATCAAGGGGCAACTTTTAGCCATGATTGATCAAAGGAATAGAATATACAGAATATTTTCATAAATATACGCATTATGATGATATTTGTATATTTATTTCATATTCAAATATAATTCGAAAACTTGCTCTTTAATCTAATCATTAAAATTATTGATTTAATATTGTTAACAAAAAAATAACATATTAAATTTCTAAATATTATTCTTAATAACTTTTTAATAATTTTTTATAAAATTAAATACAATAAGAATTATTTTGAAGGATATTATTGGAAGGTTAGCATTTTTGTTTTACTAATTAAATTAAAATTTATTAATTTCTAAAAGATTCTATAACAAATGTCCTGGATATTCTTGTGATATTGTAAATAATATTTTATAAATACGAAATAAAAATTATTCTTCATAAAAACCAATATGACATAACATTCTTAGCAGATACATTCGTTTTAGGAAGTGCAATAAGTATGCGTAAATGTACAAATTACGCACGTGCTCACTATCATAGGCATCTTCTATAGAAAACGACGCGTGAGATATTCACGCGACAGACTTGCTGTCCCACCGGTAAAACTGACCGTACTTGAAAGTGTAATGAATAATAAGCGGACTACAAGCTGTCGAGAGATTTTATCGAGGCTACTGTCAACATCCAACTAATATCGCGTACAACGTGGCGGGTTAATTGGAACTGCCTGGAGCTCTAAGCAGTATTTTCAGAGGTTTAAATCACGTTCGCATGACACCAATACATTCAGGTATCATAACCCTTTGCTACAAATGAATCTGTCATATTCTTCATAATCAATAATCAATAAAAGAAATCATATAGGATATGATAAGATATGATTATTTATAAAAATTGGATGGCATTGCTATATAAAATTATTCCTATTTTCCAAGATTTTAGTAACTCATTAGCTTTTGTTGTTTTTTAATATATCTTCTATTGAATACAACAATTATGAAAAATTATATTTATTAGTTTTATTACTTACGATAAAATTAATTTTCTTTGATCAATTGTATTTAAAAAAAATAATAATAATAATATATGTACATATATAGGTATGTAAACATATATAGGTATAATATAACATTATATTATATATATAATATAAATTTTTATTCTTTATATTTTAACTATTTTTATTGATTCATTATAATACAATAGATAAACAAACATACGATGTAATCATTCAAATTTGTATAATCATATAAATTTTAATCAATTAATGTATGTAAATATTAATCAATTAATCAATTAATGTATTATATTTTTTATATTTATATATTTATAAACTATTAGAAATATCATATTTTAAACATAACTTTAATATATTATTATATACAGTAAACTTCATATTATGAACCATATATTATATATTTAAATAATAAAAGTATACAAATAATATCAGATATCAACAAACGAATTTCCATTCTGTAAATATGTTCTAATTCCATTAATGCAAAATAAATACGTTTTGAAATATGAGAACTAAATTTACTTAATCTTCCAACAGTATGATGAAGTTTAGCATCTTCATTGCATAATTTTTCTAGAAAAAATAAATGATTTTCAATTACAAAATAGTTTTTTATTTTTATATAATAATTTGTAATAGCATATGTTAAAAATATTATTTTACCAGATACATTAGTGTCAAAGTCATATGGAATAGGTAAATATTTATCCAATATTAATTCAATAAAATCAGTTGTACTGTCAATAGTTTTTAAAATATTAATTCCTGTTTCAGTTGACATAACTCTATCTGCTTGTTGCCAACTATACATTCTTAAATAATGAACTTTACAATAAGTATGCAACTTCATAACTTTAACTTTATGTTTAGTTTCATGTTTTAAATCTGTAAATGTTTTAACAGCTGGTCTAAGATGTACAGACATCAGAGATTTAGTTTGATTTATTATCTAAAATAATAAATATTTTAAAGAAATAATAATAGTATAAAGAATTAAATTTTATAATCTAAATTATAAATATAAGCATAAAAATTTATGTAACCTGTTCTGGTTCTTCTTTTATTATAGGTAATTTTACTTCTATATAATCAAGTCCTTGACACAATGTTTTATCTATTGTATTAATAGGTTTCTCTATTAATTTTGCAATAGGTAATGATTTTTCAATCATAGTATTAAAAACATTTTCCACAGTGTTAAATGCCCAATGTACAAATACATTTGTTTCTTTCAAACGTCCATATACTTCTGTAGATTTATCCCATAAATAATTGACACTTGGTATTTTGCGAGCACGATTAATAACTTGTATTTTATATATATAATTTGATGATTCAACTTCCATATTAATAAATATTTCTTACCACTTTTATATAAATTAAAAATTTCTAAAATTTTATATGAATTTATATATATTATATAACAATATAATATATATATCATATAACAATAACAATAACTTATAACAATAACCAAAAATTATTTACTATAATATAATATAAACAAAGCAATATGATTATTTCAAATAAATATAAGAATTTTAAAATACTAATTTGATAAAATTAATAGTAAATAATTTTTGTATTTCGTTTATATTAATATTTTTAAAAATTCTTTTAATCTTTTATTTCTGGTACATAATGTTATATTTTTATAAGTAATAACGTTAAAAAAAAATAACAAAATTTAAATATGTATAATCAAAACAATAACCTTTTATATATTTTCATGAAATATATAGTATAACATAAAATCATTAAATAGATAACAAGATAATTATAACATGACTATTATGTTAAAAACTATAATATTTATAAATTATTTAGTGTACTTACAAAATTTTTCATGAAATTTTCATATTCTCATTTATTTTTCTCTTCTTTTTTTTTTAATAATTCGTGATCTTTTTCGCTTTCTAAATCATTTCACTAAAGTATATGTTTGTTCAATAATTACCTACCTAATACTATAACTTATTTGTTTTTCTTTTATAAAAGCACTCATAACTGTGTATAATATATTACATTTTACCATATGATATTGTCATTCACTAAATAATCGTATGAGGGCACCACTATTATATCTTTAACATTTATATATAGGTCATTAAGTCATATCAAGTCAATGACCTTTATATCTTTACATATATGAAAGATTTCAGAATTCTTGAAATTAAATTATCAATTAATTTATCTAAAAAACTTATATTAAAATTTGAAATATGAAAAATATAGAATAACATGCAGTTTAATGGAAAAATCTTTAATAATTGTATATTAAAATCAAAATATATGAAATACTATCAAATAATAATATTTAGTATTATTTTATTAGAGAAATTTTCATTCATAATATGATAAATCTATATTTATAAATTTTTAAAATTTTAAAGATTCAAATAAAATCTATAATTTAATTTTATTTAATAATATTTTTCTTCATTTGAAAGATAATTAAAAAATTATATAAACTGTGACTGACTAATAAAAAATAAATTGAATTAATCAGGTAGCACAATTCAAAAATTTAAATTTAGTTTTTTTTTTTTAAATTTTATAATTTTTAAAAACTCAAATTAAAAACCACAAAACTTGATTCTAAAAAAAATTTTAAAAAATAATTCGAAATTAATTTTGTTTAAATATTTCTTATCATATAATATTTATAAATATTTTGTATTTCGTTTATATTAATATTTTTAGATGTATTAAAGTTAGAAAATTGACAAGTACCTACCCTTAATTTGTCTCAAATGTTTAAAAATATTTAGTATATGACATATAAATTGAAGTTATAAATTAAAGCAATAAATAGCAATATTTAATTTTATAATTATAAATAAACATTGTGTAGAAATATTAGAAATTAGATAATAAATATTCTTTACTTAATATTTTATAATTTTCGAAATGAAACTTTTCGAAATGATATTATAATTTTCGAAATGAAACATAAAAATTATTGAGAAAAAAAAATTAAAAGAAAAGAAATAAAGTAAAGAAAAATAATTATATTAATAATACAATATGAATAAAATATTTCAATATCTTTTATACTTTTTTATAAATATTTATATAAATTACAGATTACAAAATCGTTACATAAAATATATGTTTTCTTTCATTTTAACAGTTCTTTTTAAATTTATATATGTATAGAAAAAAATTTACATATATTAAGACTTACATTAATTTTTTACTTTTTCTAATTCCTTATTAGAAAAGTATAATTATTTTCAAGTGTTTTTCTTTGATTTTATATATTTTTTTAAAAAATTTTTAACACATATTAAAACACTAGAATTTTTTTTACAATTTTTTTTTTTTACAATTTGGTGTACTATGAATCTTATTATAATATTATAAATATGAATATAAAATATCACACTGTATTTTATAAATTATTCTTATTTTTATAATATATTTTATTAAAAAAAAATATTTTACTATAAAAGTAAGCGAAACAAAAGCAATGAATATTCGGGTACTTCATGTATTTAGATATAAATAATAATTTTAGACATCTATAAAAATTCATTCGTAAATAGAAATTATAATTTTTATATTTTCCAAAATCTTTATGAAATAATCTGATTGTTCTTTAACTAAATTATTATACTATATTGTTTAATATAATATCTATATCTAGAATCAATAGCTAATTGTATGTTCTTTTGCATTTTAAAATTATCAAAATAATATTATTTTCAATTTTTACTTAAAAATTTTTTAAAATTTATCGATAATAAAAGAATCAAAATTTAACTAAAAATATAAAAAATTTACATTTACATTGATAAATAATACATAATTGATATTATGTATATTAAATTAATTATCCAAATATTAATTCTCACTCTTCATGCTGATTATTAATTGACAAAATAATGAAATTTATTCTACAATTATTTATTCGACGAGAGGTGCATTATTGTAAAATTACTAGTAAGATATTCTTCGTATTTATTTTTTTTCTGTATTTTCTTCAGTCGCATCTTTAGTATTGATTTGTTTATCGTTCAAACTTAAAAAGTGTGTTAGATGAAGAATAGATATAACGCTTGACATATATGACGCAACGTCCTCTTTTTTCACTGTTTTTAATTGTGCTACGACCGAATGATATACTCGATTAGCGGTTTTCGTGGATAATTGTCCAATGGTTTGTACAGCATGCAAAATTTTATTCTCATCGGCAGATACTGGAGCTATAATACAAATTTTACAAATTAGAAATATATCTAGTATTTTCTTAACAAGATATTTTGTTGGATATTTATAAATATATACCTGGCATGTTTTCTTCCCCTTCTATTGGTGGGAAATAACGATCCAATAAACCGTTAATGAGAACGCTACTATTATCAACACTTTGTACTGCCATATTACCATATTGTGTATTTAACAATTCATTAGCCTTTGCCATACTGATTTCTTTAAGAGTTGATGCTTGTTGCGTAGCTGACTCTTTTGCAGCGTGTAATTTGTCAATTGTTGGCTGCAAGGAACTGCTCATTACTGCTTTGGCTGCATCATAAATCTAGAAAAATTTAACGAAATTTAACAAATTAGTTAATTTTTTAAATAATTAATTCTTTAAAAAACAATACTATTCGATAAAATCATTTGATAAATTAAAAAATTAATCGTGAAATATATGAAGAAAAATATGATAATATAATTATAAATATATAAAATTTTAAATATTATAAAATATTTTGTTAATTGATTAATTCGTTTAATTAAAATTTTATTTTTCATCTAATAACAATATTATTGTACAAACAAAAAATAATTAAATTTATTATTATCTTCGGTTCATAAAAATTCGATTTTTAATTATATCAAAAATAAAATTAAAATTTTAAATTTGCATCTTGTTATTGTATTTGTATTGTAAAATTTTTTTTGCTTAAAAAAAAAGAAATTTTAAAAGATTAACATAATGATAATAGAATTGAAATTGAAATTGAAATCTCAAATATGGAATCTAAATTTTTGTTATAAAATATAATTCAAAATATATTATTATTTTTTTTAATAATAAGATTAATGTAAAATATATTTTCTAACTATATATAAGTCAGCATGGTTAGGCTCAAATGAAATTGACGATTCTAATATTGTAATTCTTATGCACTTAACATATATTATTATTATTTACCTTTTGAGGTGGTTGTGTCATGATTGGCACTTTTTGTTCGACCATATTTAATCCTTCACATAATTTTTGATCTACAGCAGTAATTTGTTCCTCGAACTTTTTAGCTAAAGGTGCAGTAAGAGGAGCAGCTGTGGCAGTTGCATAATGTAATCCAGCTTCGGCTTGAGTTAATGCCCAATTGATTAAATGATGCGAATCTTTGAGATAAGAATATGTCGATCCCGTTTTTTCTATGGCTGAATGAATAACAGGAATGCTTTTTACGCGATTAATCACTTCGAGATGAGGTGTACTATCAGATGATGAGGTGCTTTTATTATCTGCCATTTTTTCTGAAAAATTGAATAAAATATTAATAATCATCTAATATATTTATTATATTTATTAGATGATATTTATTATATTTATTATATTTATTAGATTATATTTATTATTTATATTATATTATTATATTATATTTATTAACAAAAGAAACAATATAGATATAAGATAAAGAAATAAAATGATAATTCATGATTTTTCAATTTTAAAATTTATATTTTAATCCCAATTCCATATTATGTTATAAGCATCAATCATGAAATTATTTTCAATGTATTAGTAATACTAACATCACAGTCGACGAATAAAATAGTGTTCAGTTCATTAATCATTTCAAATGTGATGATTTCATTTTAAACCATTATTCATAATTATAATAAGATCTAGATCAATTTTAGTGATATACCGAATTAAAAAGTATTACTTATTTAAAAGAAAAGTGACCGATTATTGTTTGTTTACTTTTTTTTATGTATTCTTACATAGTTAACTACGTAATGATGAGTAAACTTTTTTTTTGCAAACGATAATAATACCAAAATAATATAATAATAAAAATAAAGCTAATATATACTTAAAATTATGTCAAAATGAACAATAATGTTTGCAAAATTTATGAATTATCGTGTTACTGAATTGAAAGATGTAAATTGTGCTACGTGAAATAAAATTAATATACTATACTCAACTTTTCAGAAGATTATAAGTATAATTCATAATTCTTTCACTGTAAAATAAAGAATATGTTAAAATTGCTTACAGCGTTAAATATTCATTATGTGCAGGACTGATGACACATGAATTGTACTTTTAATTTTTCGGTGATACATAACTTTATTTTTAGTTTTTTATATATGTATCGATACACTTTAGATTTCATTAAAATTATTGAATTAAATTTTTCACGTTATTAAAAGTTAATAAAAATTATATATCTAAAAATTAATTTTGATGTTTTATAATTCTTGAAGTAAAACGCGTAAAAAATATGACTATAGTCCTTTATCGTATTCAAATTATCGATCTTTACCATGAACTATTCAATCTTATGTAAATCTTTCATATGATAGACTATGAAATAATATTCAATGAAAATATGAAACGATAATGTCAATCATTATGGACATGTAGCTCGAAATAATCAATGACAGTAATACATAAAAATATATAATTAATATATATTTATATAGTAGTATTAAAATATTATGATCATAAAAATTATATTAAAATATGAAATTAATAAATATATAATATAATATAACGATTTCAATTGCAATTGTTTTTGTTAACTTCTTAAAGTTTTAAAAATAAGAGGATATTAATTATCAATTTATATATATTTATAAATTATAATTTTTATTAGATTTCTGCAAAGATATAAGAGATAAAGATTTTTATAAAAATATATTTGTTAAAAAACAGGATGAATATATAGGAAAATCGAATTTTATATATAAAAAATTTAAATAAAACAATAATAATTATACTCATAATATTAAAACATATTTGTTCTAATTTATTGCTTAAAAACATTATAATCTAAATGTAATTACATTCTAATGTCAATGAGTTTCATTAAGAATTATTACAGAATATAAGACAATACTCTAAAATTAAATATAATCAATTAAAAGAATAAAATATAATTAATAATTAATTAATATTATAAAATATAATGAAAAAGTATATATTAAGTAAATAATTATAAAGTATGATATTACTTACGAGTATTAATTTGTACTTGGAATGTTTGATGCAACAGTTAACAAAATATAGTAATAAAAGCAAAATATATACTATATTCTACGATACATACGACAAATCCCGTAACACTGACGTGACGATACGACTACTCTAGGTAAAAAGCTACTGGTAGAAAATGGTCACAAGTGGGGGCAGACATTCTTCAGGACCGTAGAAAGAACGTTACTTTTATCACATTTCTTATGTATTGCACGAAAAATAATATAAATATTATTACATATACGAAAGACAATATAGATAATTTATAATCTCATAAACAAAATTTAAATATTCGATTATTTTCATTAAATTCTTCTAAATAATTATAACATCAAATCTATATTTGATTGCTATAAATAATTTATTATCAATAAATAATAAATATATATTTCTATTCTTATTATTATATTATTTTGTTCTATACTATATATCTAATAATCTAAGCATTTTAGATTATATATTCTATTAAAAAAACAATTTATATATATATATAAATTTTATTAATATTATGAATTACAACTTAAGAAAGTGCAAAATAAATATATAATATAATTTGTGAATAAAATAAATTGTTATTTTTAATATATATTATAATAAAAAAATTAAAAAATCTTTAAATGCATGATATATTCAATCAATATATAGTAATGAAATGTTATTAAAACGCTATTGATTAATTTCATAAATATTGATAAACTACATAATTTTATAATTATATTAATACACATCAATGTTTAAATGAAATAAGATCGAAGGGAACTTCAATGCGTGTCTACTTCCATGAATACATTCGTGCTTCTGCGCAGCTATACACATGTATACATACTTATATATGTGTCATTACTATGACGTGGCGGTCACGTCGTTGTCTTCCTCGTATTGTATAGTTGTGATAGTAATTATGAAGAATACGTCAAAGAATACGTTTTCATTGATTCCACAATCATTTCAACGAAACATGATTGGTACAATTTTAAATTTAGATATTTAAATATGTTATATATTTTATTTTATGTTATTATATTTATATTTATTATATATTATATTTTATTTTATTTTATATTAAATATGTTATATATATTATTTATTATATATACAATATATCAAAATATAAATTATTTTCTTATTTTAAATTAAAATTAGAACTATTTTAATTATCAATATTTATTTGAATTGAAGATTATTAAAATATTTAGATTTATTTTCAATAAATTAAATATTATTTTTATAAATCTTTTATTATAATATAATTGATAAGTAGTTATTATAATAACATTATAATTATTTTTTAATTATTATATATATAAATTTTATATGAATTTTAAAAAATTTAAA